ACTGGCCTCTAGGACCCCTTTGTACTTCCATAAGGGCAAATGTGCTTGCTCTGAAACATTGGGATCAAATGCACTTCCTGCTTTCTTCATAACAGGGAAACATTGCCCTCCACATGTCTATCTCTTTTCCTAGGTGAATCAGAAGTGCTCTTCTGCCAAAAACAAAGCCCTCAGGTCCTCCCAAAGCTCCTTCCTTACTGTGAGAAGATTGAGGCAGAAGAGAGGAGGGAAGGTCCGGGCTTGCCACCACTGTGAGGTTTTCAGAGTTCCACTTTTGATGCTAGGAGATTGTATGTGAATGTCCAAAGATGCAAAGATGCTGCATTCCATTGCTCTAGATCATTTCGAACAGGCCAAGATTTCCCAGTGTGTTTTTCCTTTTGTGGAAGCAGTCCATTGCCTCCACTCATGAATGATGAGATACATCCACTTTGTCACGAGCCGTGCACTTTTGGGGTTTCTGAGCGTGCATGCAACATGAGCCTACCTGCTATGGGCATCATTTTGGATGGGGGAGTAGTGTGGACCACATGGAAACAATAATGAAAATACCAACAAGGATGCAACTGATTTTAACATGAGTGTTGCAGGGTAAAACTGAAATGACCTGGCAGACAGGAGCAGAGAGAGGGACATGTGCTGGGCCTTGAAGGTAGCTGCAGTCTCACCAGAAAAGACAAGGTGTGAGGAAAAGCTGGGAAGACAGAGGAAAGTGAGGAGATCTGAATGTGCAGTGTGGAGCGCTGTGGTGGAAACTGAGTGCTTGAAGACGAGAGTGGAATAAACTGGACGGTGGGGATGGGGGCAGGTTTCAGCTGTCTTTTGAAGCCAGGGAGTGGGCAGATTACAGACATTAGTTTTGTGCTTCACAAACCTCAGGCTCCCCAGATATGGAGCATCCTTCTGGAAAGTCGGTGCATAAAACCGACTTGGTACTAAACACACTTGTGCTAAACCAGCTTCTGTACTAAACAAACATGGATGTGTTCTGAGTAGAATATAAAATTTGCATAACCTGAGTAATTAATAGGCACGCTTAAAATTTTGGCTGTGGCATAGCACTTGGATGACACCTGCATGCCCTCCTGCAGCATGGTGTGCGTCAGTGGCACAGTTTGCCTGCTCCTCAGGTGGTAGGATCGGAAACGCTCTGACCCCTTGCTGGGAACACCTGCAGGTCCCACTCTGGGAACTGATCTTGTCGAGTAGAGCCTGGTGGTTAATTGTCACATTAATATTGGCCCGTGCCAAAGCACCTTCACCTCTCTTCCTCGCTAGGGTGAACATCCAGTGGTAGGACATTTGTGCTGTCCTTTGAATGCTGGTTTCCCGTCATTCTCTCAGCAGCCTGTTTCTAGAAACAGTGTCGGCAGCCTGTTTTATAACTGAGAGAATGATATGTGGCAGGTATTGTAAATGTGTTCAATGGGGTCTTTCAGGAAATTCTGTGTTAGGACACGGGTCCCGGCTGCCGGTAGGAGGTCCAAGAGCAGTGTTGGCGTGGACTTGCCTCCCAGAAGGGTGCTTTAGGCCACCCGTGTTCTGCCAGCCTCACAAAAGACATGCCGACCTCCTTAATTCAGTTCTCCATCTCCTGTCAGTTGGTACATTTCTGGACAATATTTTGAGGCAGCATGTAGCTGCATATTCCTTGTGAAGAATTTAATCGAAGCAAAACAGAATTTAGATGGACAATTTGGTCTTGCGCATCTCTGTCTGTCTGTCTGTCTCTGTCCCTTTTTCAGGTTATTTACAATGCTGCCTCAGTAGTACATATAGTCACGCTCTGAGGGAGCAGAAGTATCTGCTTTTCTTTAGCAGAGTATTTTAAGGAATAAAATATCCCTTCATGTCTTGAAACCTCACGAAGCCCCGTCTACATAGCAGCAACTTTCTGAAGAGTTAGTTTTAATTAAGAAATCATTATGAATGGTCCCTGGTGACTGACACCCTCTTGGCAGTCTCCTTTTGCACTCTGTTGAGATGTCACTGACTCCACGGGTTTGATTTGGGAAGTGGACTGGGGAGGGCATATAATTATGTAGTTTTACAACAGCTGTCAGCTAGAGTGGAAAGCTGTGAGCATGTTTTCTAACTTTCTCTACTTAGGAAGCTGTGCTAGTTGAGTTTTTCTGAAAACCTTCTATTTATCCATAGCTAATAAGATTTTTAAGAAGAGACCCTGCTAACACCATGTTTTCACTAATATTGGGTGGCTAAAATCAATTAGCAACTACATCGTGTCGAAAGTTATCCTCTTTTTTTCCCTCCTGTTTTCACACATTTTTTTCTTTCTTGGTATTACCTTGATTTAGTCTCCTGTTCTCCCTTTTGGGAACAGAATTTGGCATAAATAAATGATAACTGAGAAAGTAGTGTACACAGATGGCTAAATGTGGGATTGCTCCTTCCTCCCACAGTAGGTCGTGGTCGTGTTGTAGCGAGTGGTTACCCATAAGAGAGACAATAGTTTTGGTGGCAGCTATTTAATTTTTTTTAATAGGGAAACCCATTCTTTCCCTAGTTATGCAACTCAAAATGGAACAGGAACCCCCAAAAGCCTTTCAGACCACTAATGCATTGAAACTGTTGAATCAAAATGGACTCCTTTGTCAGAGCACTGCCCACAAAATGGAATTTGGTACACTTCATACCCCAGTGAATTTAAATTATATAGAGCTCATATTTAATACCAGTGCAAGTACCAGCGGAATGTGCATGCTTAATATGCATTCTCTAACTTTTAGAATTAAGTAGTTGATCTATGGAACTCAAAGAGATCATCCTTCTCTCAAAGAGAATATCTTATGACCAAGCAATTTAAAAGGCACTGCCATAAACAACTATTTCCATCTTGTCTTCTCTCTCTCCCTCCCTCCCTCCCTCCCTTCTTCCTTCCTTCCTTCTCTCTTTCTCCTATCTTTTTTGTCCCAGCCTCTCATCTTCAAAAGCAAAATGTGCATGTAAGGAAGCATATGCTGTTTTAGAGGAAGTATTTTAGAAAATCACTTGAGATGTTTTCTTTTTCCTTTCGTGGCAACTGAACTTTTGGATAGATGCTCAGGAGAATTCTTATAATTTGGTTTAATGCTCTTAGTTTTTATTTGATGGAAAGGGGCATAATATGAAAGCACAAATTTCCCTTGGAAGTGGAAGTCATATTGCTTAAAGTATAAAAGTGTTACTTATGTTCTTAACACTGTGACTGCACATACCAGGCTTTCTGGGACAGTGTCAATTTTAAATGTTTAGCTAAGGTTAAATTTCACCACTGCACTTTTGTAGGAATTCCACTTTGTGAGTAAGATAGAAAACAAATATTTTGCTCTATGTTTTGCCCTAGTTTTTGATTCCTAATATATAGTCACTTTCCTTTTAGCCATACTAGATTTGAAAAGTCATTATGGAAATAATTGCATTTTTTGAGGTGATGCCCCACAAGAAAAATGTACATCCTGTCCCTTTTCATTCCCTCCAAGTGCTGGAAGGAGAAGGAGGGCACTGAGTGAAGAGCTGCCTTGATTTCCAGAGGCAAAACAGAGGTACTGAGAGCCTGAAGGGGTTTCTGGAGCTGCAAGTCTTCAGTGTTTAGTCCTGAATATTTTGCTCCTGGACTTTAGGATGGGCTTCCTCCCCACTCTGCCCAGCTAGGTACCATCACAGCGGGAAATTGTTCCAGGAGGCTCAGAGCTGTGCACACTTTATGCTTTGAACTGGGTTTTATTGGTTTGACCACTTATTGAGTGTTAGGTGCTGTTTTGTGGAGTTATAAAGTTAGGATTGATTCCATCTCTGTCTTTACTGAGCTCAGGGCACATTTAGGGAAGCCATACATGCACTCATGAGAACAGAAACTCCCTGTACAAGGGGTGGACATACCACTTGCTGTTAGGTGTTCAGGCCCTGGGTAGGGGCAGAGCAGGAGTGGAACTGCAGCTTTGTCAAAGATTGGCATCGCAGGATGGGCAGATTGGATAGCTAATTTTTTACTAACCTGACACTTGATTTTGTTTTTCTTTCCTTTGTCTTTTTTTCTTTTTCTTGTCCTGGGGATGGAATCCAAGGCTTTGTGCACGGTAGGCAGTTGCTCTAACCCTGAACTACACTCACAGCCTTTTAAAGCACTTTTAAGGCTATTATTTTTTTTCCTAATAAATTTTGCCCCCAAGTTTTGTTCTTTCTTTGTGGTAAACAGATATATTAACCTGGTGTGAAAAGTCAAAACTTGGGCTTTATGCGTCTTTGATAGACAAGGAAAAGTGAAGCAGTGCGGGCTGCGGAGGTTGGCTGCCGGTTCCTTGCTCTGGCTGATACTGTGAGTCTGACCAATTAACTGAAGCCTAGACAGAATGAGGGAGAGTTGAACGTCCCTCCCCAAAGAATGCCTGTCCTCCCCGCCCTCCTGTGAGGCTACTGAGAAACTCTAGACTTTATGCACTTTAAGAACAGCTTTTGTGAGACTCTCCAGAAGGGTGCAAAGGGAAATCATCTAAGGTGGGGGTGTTAACCCGACCACACACTAGGAATCCATAGGTAAAATCCAGGAAAGGTTCGGAACATGTTCTCCCAAACAATCTAAAGTGACCTTCACATGCCCTCCAGGGTGTAAAAACATCACTCTATTGCTTCAGCCCTCAACTTGCTCTGCTTTCCTCAGCCTGTCTGACACCCGCAGGAACCCCGCGGTTATAATTCTCTCTGCCTTCAGGAACATTTACCAGGAAGGCCAGAAAATTGTTGCTATGGGCTCTGTTTTGAGGAAGTTAAAACGCTGGAGAAAGAATCTGATTGCTTGATAGCTCTTTCTCTCTCTCTCTCTCTCCCCTTCTCTCCCTCCCTCCTTTCTTCTCCCTCCCTTCCTCCTTCTCCCTCTCCCTCTCCCTTTCGCCCTCCCCACCTCTCCTACTCTCCTCCCCTCCCCTTCCTCCGCTGGGCTCCCGTGCTGGCCCCACACAGGCCCGGAGGAAAAGAGCCTTACAGGTTGTCAATGAAACATGGAATTATTTCCTTTGATGGCTTAGATAATAGTAGGAGCCAAAGCAATGAGTGAGGTCGGCAGAGACCAATGCAGTCCTGCCCGGGGCTGGAGAGCCAATCGCAGGAGCAGAGGGCGGGGCGTCGGCGCCAGCAGATAATTGCTAAGTGCATCGCTAGCACAGTTGGTCCAAGCTGCTGAAAGGTCTGGTCGCAGAGACAGGAACGCGTAATCCTCAGCGTGCTCCAGTGCTCCATCCGGACAGCATCTTCCCACCTCGGCAGGGCATCGAGCCTGGGGACCACAGCCCCCGCTCTTCTGACAAGGTACCTCTACCCACATCCCCGGGGTGCTGCTCGCTTGTCCCTTCTCGGTGGCTGCAGGTTAGCAGAGGTGGAGGATTTCAGAGAAGAAAAGTTTAGGGGAGGAAATGTGGCAAAGGTGGAAATTCATTGCCTTTTGTTGGGAGGAAAACAAGCCAACAATTTGGAAAACTTCTAAGCTTGCCAGTAACTGGGTTTGTTTACTACTCTTAATTAGCTGTGTTCAGGTCTGTCAAAAATCCATCTGGTCTTCCGCATGGTTGGGGTGCAGGCTAGGATTTGCTGGCCGAAGGAAGGAGGACCTCAGGACCGCGAACTGTTTCCCAGACCCCAGGATAATGTGACTGTCCCTGAGAAGCTGGTCTGAGAATCGTGACTGGTTGGTCAGGTTTTGCACCACAGGGTCTGCTGTTCTGTACTACATTGACCTGCCTTCCCCAAAGTACTGTGACCTTCAACTTGAGTCCTTCTTCAAACTTCTGTCTCTTTCTCCCTCTTACCCCTTGACCATTCTTTCTTTGTTCATTTTGTGTGGTGGAAGAAGAAATTTCTTGGGGCGAGGGGGCCTGTCCTGTTTGACCCGGTCAGCTTCTGGGTGCCATACAACTTGTGGAGAAACTGACACAACCGTTCAGAGGAAGAAAAATCACTTCATTGCTTAGCTCCCCTAAACTCTGCAACGTTTTCCCGGTTTGGTGTGCCCTGAAAAAATGGGGATGGACCTGAATTCTAGCCTGTGCACAGCTCATACCTGTGCTGGAGTTGCATGGAGCCCTGAGCGTCCCAGCTCCTCTGGGAGGTGGAGGCGGGTGGTGGGACATCTAGCTGCTGGGCGCTGGCTCTGTCTAGGTGCTCAGGTTGAGCAGGTTCGCAGGTGTGGCAGAAAGATGGAGCTGAAGTCCCCATCCATACTGCCTCTGGTGACTGCTTTGAGTAGAAAAGCTCATCATGGCAGGCAGCTGGTTCAGCGGAGCAGCATCCTTGAATATTCTTCATTGTGGGACCAAAAGAGTATGACCGCTTTTGGGGTGGGTGATATGACATAATATGACACTCCTGTTTGGTCCCAGAGAAAACTCCTTTCCTCCAGTTTCTCCCACAGGCAGTGTTAGGTGGACCTTCAGGAAGCAGTGTGCCCATGGGGGAGAAGGTAATGCACTTAGCCTTGAACTTCTTCCTCCTTTCATGCAAGCTCCTGTGTTTGTGCTGCACACCACTTTCCCAGGTGTGTGGCTGACTGCACCTACTGAATACTCTGAAGCTGCCAGTCCCTGTCTGGTGTCACAAGCCCTGAAGCTTTGAGATGGGTGAGAGTCAGGTGAATTTCCACCCTTCCCTGCAGCTGGGAAGTCCTGCCTAGTGAATGTTCTGGGAAGGACGCTCCTGCGCCACCTCTCCCCTGTGACACCCTTCCCGCTGAGGTGCAGATGGCAGTCTGGATTCTCTAGCTCCTTCACTTTTTAATTCTTTTTTTTTTTTTTTTTTTTTTTTACCACCACATACAACAGGTTCTTCTCCACCTCCTTTAGGAAGCTATTTTGGATGGGAACTGTTATTATGGAAGCTCTACTCACAGTGGTTAAAAAAAAACAGGTGCCTGACTGTTTTGTTTTTGTTATTGTTAGTGAGGATGCGGTCAGCCTTCTCTTCAGCATACTCTCCCCTGACAGTCCACAAAGCAAACTTGCAGCCCTGCACATTATGATCTCTCTGTGTTTGGAACTAGTAGTAGAAATTGAACTTTTCTTGGCTGTTGGGAGGGTTGAATGCAGAACCTTGTCCTTGGTGGTCTTTCTACAGTGCATGGCCCCTGGAGACCCCAGGAGGACAGCACCCAGCTCTTGAAAGCAGGCCCCTTGGTGTTCCTGAAGACGACAATACATTAGAAAGTTCTTTTGAGCTTGATAAGACCAGGAACTGGGAGTAGAGCTGGGGGTCCCTTTATTTGATCCTGATCTCCTCGATTTCTGTTTAGATAGAGAACATTAAAAGTAAGACATTTAAAACAGCTTCTGAATGGTGACTCATGCACAGAGGGAAAAGGCTGGTGGGGGGAGGGAGCCCAGGGAGCTTTAAGAAGTACAAGTGGGACACACTGGAGTGCTTGATTTCTTCCTCTGCCTCCTCCTCATTCTTCTTCCTTGTATTTCCCCATTTGGAACAGAGATCATTAAAATAACAACTTAAGCTAAAAAAAGGGAGATGGGGGGACATAGGAACCAAAGCATAACTGACAAAATGCAAAACACCATCATCACAGCTTCACCTTGGATAGAGTAGGGTGTGAAGCACAGCTCTTCTGCTTGTGATCCAGCTTGGAGAGTCATTCACTGGTGTTAGGCTGATGAACTCGTGAAGATGGGCGCCTGTTTGTATATGAAGGCACTGACTGATGTTTAGGAAATTGAATTTGTCACTTGTCACTTCTTCAGGCATGATAGCTTTAGCTAGGACCCCGGGTAAGCCCTGGCCAGAGGTCTAGCATGACCTCCTCCCCACTGGCCAGCCAGGACTTCTGGCATTTACCAGTGTGCTGTGGAGGATTGCAGCTTTCTGCTCTCCCCCGCCCAGTGCAAGTTAGCTGACAACTAGGAGTCCCATCCCTGCTTTCTGGATCCCATCTCCATCACCCTCCCTGTCCTCCCTTTTCATCATAAACACATCAATAAGTAATCTCTGTGCCAACCTGCTTTGATCTTGTCATTTTGCGGCCATTTTGCTGTTAAAGAAAACTGGCCCCGAAATAAGATTGAAAACGTATTAACATTTCTGTCAGAATTGCCTTTTGTCTTCTATTTTTAAATTTAATTTTGTGGTTTTGTGGAAATCAGATAAGTACCCTCATTGGGTTAGGCGCTTTGGGGAACACTGTCGGGGTACCTGATGCCTTTTCCTCCTTGCCTGGCTGTGTGAGTTTGCCAGCTGTCCTGGAGAGGGTGGTCTGGAGCCTTGCAGCAATCAAAAGCATCCCCAGAAGTTGATGAAGTTGGAGCACAGTGTGCCCTGTGTATTTAGAGTGGGGAGAAGACTGTTTTGAAAGCCAGCTTCTGAATATATATATCTATTCACCACTCTATTCTTGTCCTCCTCCATTCTTCATTTAGGAAAATTTCATAGGCAAAATTATGAGTAAATAGTTGATGTGACTCACTCTTCCTTACACTCACATACTCCTCCTTTCTCCCCCTGGGGAGCCGTTTCACCTTGAAACAGGTAACTGAATAATACTCAGTTATTACCCAATCTGATAGGCAGGTATCCATCTCTTGTCGCCTTCCCTGCTCATTCCTACTGTCATTTAAGGGCATCCTGGGGTGAAGACTTACTTTTGTATGCCCTGCTCACTTCCCTTTGGGAAGAGTTAAGCAGGATACCTTAGAAATGCTGGAATATCGTGCTCACGAGAGCCTGCCCGGTGGGAGCAGTGAGGTAATCCTCTCACCAAGTTCAGTTCTGCTGCAGACCTCACAGGAGCACCTGGGGTGCAGCTGACCTGGCAGGGCTGCCAGTTGATGTGTCTGAGCAGGGGCGTTTTCTGTGCCTGGGGACCCCCACCAGCTGAAGCCATATCCCCTGCAGTCCGTTTGCAGCCAGGACTGACCTTGTAAACACCAGCAGACAGTGCAGTTTGTCTGTCATTCCAGCTTCTTTGTTCTTTGTTCTCTTCTCATCCTGAATCTACTGATAGTTGGAAAAGACTAAATATCAAATCTAATTTCTTGTATTAAGGTATGAAAGTTAAAACTAATAATACTAGTGCCACTTGCAGAGGTATTTGGTTTTTTTTTTTTTTTACTTTATTTCCTCCTTTATTTTTGTGGTGTTGAGGTTGGAACCCAGAGACTCGCCCACGCTAGGCAAGCACTGTAACACAGAGCTCTACTCTCAGTCTGATATTTGAGTTTTTAGTGGAAATCAAAGGTGTGAGAAGTGGAAATTCAGGCATCTGCTAGTGGACACAGGAAGACAGAATATGTGTCAGGACAGTGCTAGGAAACTGCCCCTTTGCTTCTCAGTGCATGGTGGTTCTGTTCTGCCCAAGTAGAGGACAGGACATACTGAGGCTGCAGGTGTTGTGCAGTCCTGGGGATGTGGTGGCTTGATCCAGACCCTTCAGATTTCACCTTGAGATTTCTGACTTTTGACTTGCTCTTTCTGACTTTCAGCTTCATCCTATGTAAAGCCCAGGGCCTAAACTGTGTTCATTTTGGTCCCCTTTTGCTTTGACCTCTCTGGATCTGGCCACAGAGTCCTCCATCCCGTCATAGATGCTACAGATCTGGAAAGGTGTGGAGCTCTCAGAGCATCTTCCAGTGTGAGCCACGGTGACCAGTGATGCTTGGGAGACAGAATCCTTAAGGGCAGGTCAGAAGGAGTGGTGGATGCTATGCCAGAAGAAAAACAGGCTGAGGGTGATGTCATAACTGATTTTGGTTTAGGAGAGGATGTTATACGGAGGATGGCAACCAGCTGTTCTCCATCTCCAGTAAGGATTGAACGAGAGAAAATAGACAGAAATTGCAGCAGATGGACTTAGATTAGGTATGAGGAAGAATTTTCCATCAGCAAGAGTTTGTGAAAAGGGAAGGTTGTGGAGATCTGTGATGATCTTCAGGAGTGGTTAAGTGAAGGTTTGGACACTGGAGGAGGAGCCAGAGGACTGTGCAGAGGTAAAGGCAGGGTCAGAGCCTCAGGATCCATACCCTGTCTTGAAGAGGCTCAATTTCATTTCTCCAAAACCTTGCCACCTTCCTGTGGTTATGAAGGGGCTGAAGATGTGTGGGGAGTGAGGAAGGAATGCAGACAGCCCGCTGTGCCCCTGGGTGTGGAAGCCCAGCATGGCCCTTGTGCTGCTTTTCTGGGCAGGTCCTGTATATGGCTCAGGATCTCCTACTCAGTCTCATCTTTCATTCCCACGAGTGGCCAGTGAGGCCCGCAGAGGGGAGAGGGTTTGGCTTGGTCACACAGTCACCAAATGGCAGAACTGGACCAGCGTTCAGGTTCTTCTCCCGAGTCAGGGTCACCAGCTTTGTAGCTCCTCTCTTCTGATTCTGAATTGGATTGATTGTTTGCTTTTCTTGCTCCTGGTTTATGTGTAACCAAGTGGCAAGATGGGGACATTTGCAGGTGGGCAGTCTTTCTAGGATGTGGCTGAGGGAGACTGTGTTCTGCTCCAGCCTCTTCATTTGCCCAAGAACCTGAAAACCCTTCCTCCTCTGCGTGGGTTGCAGAGCCTGGCTGGGCCGGTTGGTAGGGGTATGCACCAGAATATAGAACCCAGAGAGGGACTGGTAGGGCAGGGAGCAAGTGTAAGAGAAATGTGAAAAATATGAACAATTTGTAAGGTGAAATAAGAGGTCCAAGGCACATTAGTGAATAGAGTCAAGGGCTGCATATGAGGGGTGGGGCTGTCCAGAGAAGGGTGCAGCCTGCAGGGCCTGGAGTGTGCTCTGCTAGGGCCCAAAGCTTGGCCCTAGGTGGGCTCAGAAGGGGCCCTAGACCCCCAAGAATGAGGCAGCTGCTGTAGGCAGCTTTGCTCAGCAGTTGTTGAGGCACCTAGGAAGCAAGGTGAATGGGTGAAACAAATTCCACAGAATAAATCCAGAGTTTGTGTGTGGCCCCTGAGCAAAAGGCAAGCAGACAGTCCTAGGTGTGTGCTGGGTTGGCATCCAGAGCTCATCGGGGAGTGCTTAGTGGAGAAGGCATGGCCCTTTCTCCCACAGCCTGCTGGGTACCCACAACCAAAGGTATCTTCTAGCAAGAACTATAGCTTCTCTTGCAGGGTCTTGTATGACCTGCAAAAGCCTCAGCCCCAGAGGCAGCAGAGCAGAGAAATAACTGAGACAGAGCTGTGGAAGAGCCAGAGAGGGATAAAGTGAGAGAGAAAGGGAGAGAGAAGGTTTTGTGGGCACCAGGGGCTGGGGCCAGACTGGGAAGAGGAAGGGAAGCGAGGCAAGGAAGGATGGGCCAGCACACAGGAGGTGGAAATCAAGGGCCTATGGGCCCCGTGTGCAGGTGGGGACCCTGGAGGAAAACTTCCAGGGTTCACCCAGGAGGTGCTTGTGGTATGTCCTTGCCAGTCGCAGTGGTACTCAGCTGAGTTCGCACTCTGTCCTCACTTTTGATATTACAGATTATAAAGGAAAACAGTGAGCTGTAGGAAGTGAAGCAGAGATATATTCTGGATATGTGTTTACTGAGGTTGTCCTCTGTGGGGTGGCCTCCTGGAGCATGGAAACCCGAGTATGAGCTGAGCCTAATAGGATTCGCCCAGAGGGTGGGGCAGAGGTGGTGAGAGCTGAGCCAATCTGCAGGAAACAGTGGATCTGTCAGTAATGCAGTACCTGGTGTCACTGAATCTGAACATACCAGATAGGTAGGGTGTGGTGCTCATCACAGGGCAAGAGACTAGCTGGGCAAACCAAGGGACAGAGGTTGTAGACAGGAAATGACAAGCCACACTTGTACCTAGGAACTGCAGTTTGAGTAGTTGTGGAGTTGCAAAGTGGAGAGCAGGGTTTTGGAGGGCCTAAAAGGCAGGGCCTAGCCTGAGACAGGGGCCTGTTCAGAAATAATTTGCTGTTGCCCAGGTAAGAAATGAGGACCCAGAGGAAGACATGGCCGTGGGGAGCGGAAGGGACAGCATCAAAGGGCAACATTCTGACTTAGTAAGTCACACTAGATAGGGCAAAAATGAAGAAGAATTATTCATTCCCGGGAGGACAGGCTGACAGCTGACACAGAAGGTCACACTGTTAGATAACAGCAGCATCCCCACTAGGAGACAGGAGGAGAGGAAGTTGGTTGAAACTGCAGGAAAAGGATATAAGTGAGACATTAGAATTAATGTTTTAATGGCAGGGATTGTGAAACATGGGGGCAAGGTCGTCAAAAGAGGTTGTAGACTAATTCTCTTTTTCCTCAGAGTATTAACTAAAATTGGTCTTTTCTCTGATAGAAGAGTGAA